AATAGATTAATTTAATATTATAGAAACCAGTGATAACAGTATCCATTAATTGAGCAATATGATTAACTCAAACTTTGTAGCTGAGTTCTACCACATCAGAACAAGAAAGATGGAGAGAGGAAGGGAGGGAGGGAAGGAAGGTCATAAAGATGACTCATTTCCTAAAGAATAAGTTGGAATTCCAACAAATCGATCACTATTAACAATTACATGCTCGAATTAGTCTTCACTTCCGACTGCCTATGGCCTGTTATATAACAGCTCTCACAAGGTTCATAACACAGCTAATGGACACAGTCATGTTCCTCTAGTATAGGATACACAGTAGAAATGAATATTGATGCAATCATTAATACATATCAATTCCAAATGGTACAAAGAACTAAATAAAGCTGATTAGCTTTCCTAAGCTCCACTCCAGGTGTGCCCTGCTGTAGATGCTTGAACTAGGTTATGGTACATGGCGCTTTCAAGAAAGGAGATGCCTCAGGCATACCTGACATCACAATTGAAGCCTTCCCAAGGCTGACTTTCATTCAGTTAGTCTCTGAAGAGGAAATCAGAGATTCAAGGCAGGAGAAGAATGTGATATGCCCTGCTGGCTTGAAGAGGGAGAGTCACAGGTTCAAGGACTGTGGCAGCTACCCATTGCTAAGAGCAGCTCCTTGAAGAGAGAAAGCAGGAACTTAGTCCTACAGAGTCAAGGAACTGAATTCTGTTAATGGTAGTCTCCTCATACCAGCGTCTTCAACTACATAGTTTAGTGGTTGCTCTTGGTCTACAGACAAGGATTGTTCAATGGTCATTTAAAATTTCACTGTTTTCTTAATAGAAATATTAACTTTAAAATCTTTAACATATTGAAATACTAGGTACATTTGAAATAAATATGAACTAGCCTGTAATTTACAAAATATTTACATTTTGATATTTTTAGTGAGGTGTATTCAAGAATAAATTTCAGAGCTTACATATTCCTCAAAATATAAATTGTAAATGAATATGTATCTTTTGCTTGGGGTATGGCATGTGATTTTCCATTAATGGTGAAAAACAATGTAGCCTCATGAGCATTATGCAGTAAACATTCCTGCTGCTGCATATGTCAGATATTGTACAATGCAGCAGACTTTGTTGACAGATTAAAAATGATTTTTCAAAACCAAAAGCTCACTGATGATATTCTGAAGTGATAATTAAGGATACAGGGTAAAAATATATGAAAAAAATGTAAAAGAGTTTCAGAAATGATAGAAATAATGTCAAAACAAGGTTGTGGTACCAAATATTCTTTCATTGTGTCCAATTTATCATGAAAAATGATGTATTTAAAATTATAAGGTACTTTGTCATCCAAATCACTCTCAAACATTTTCTAAAATTGGTATGAATTATTTTCCTGATCTCAAAATTGTGAAATCTGAGACAGAATTGAATTTTATAGCAATAGTTGTTTTACATTTTACTGTATCTTACAAATAGTTATCACTTCACTTTTTCATTGTGAAATTATTTGCATCTTACAGATAGAGAATTGCGCTGTTTAAATTATACTGTTTTTTTTCTGATATAGTGCCATTATGGATTATTGGCTTAGAAAAGAAAAAAAGTAGAATAAAGACAGTAATTTTACTAACACAAATCATACTACCATAAGTCAGGCCCAGATCAATCGTACAGATAACAGTCCAATTCCTATATATAACAGCTGTAAAGCAATGACTTATAAATAAAAATGCCAATTCCTTTGTAATCTACTTTCTATGGTATCTTCAAGCTACACAGAATTATTCTTTTTGGAAATATCTCATATTTTCTAAGATTTTAATTGACACAAAGTAATGTTTAGCACTGGAAGGTCTCTGTTATTTGGCGATCAGACTTTTGCTGATCCCATCTATCTAAAGGTCTTAACACTCTGTGGCTGACGTCTGGTTTTAGAGTCACCCACTCAGAGACGCTTTACACAGCTGGCACATTCTGCCTTGGGCATTTTCCTTCTAAAAACTAACTTTTCACATCCCATTTCTTTGATTCTTTCCTAAGCAGTGAGTAACAATAGGAATAAAACCAAAAATAAATGATCATGGATTAAGGAAGGTGTGACTGCCCCAGGAGCCCATGTGTGTGGCCACAATGAAAATACTCAAGAAACAGCCTTTCCAGACAAGGATTGAAGATGTCTGAATCTATTAATGAGTGCATGAACAAGTGGAATGGATACCTTAATCCAAATAAACAATGGTCACTACTGGAACTTCCAGAGTATTTCAAGAGTCCAGGATTTTGGATACCTTACGTATCACATCCAATGCGCACTCACCCAAGCCTAGGGCCCTTTCTTCATGGAATCAGGATGAGGGCATTCAACATAACCTTGCATAAATGTTAGATGTACATATTTCCCAAGCATTTACTTCTAAACCCAACGGTGTGCTATTTTATAGACAGCTATATTTCACAAAGATGCCTTCATCCATGCTCCATCTCCCAGATGTTTGCTTTACACAATTACTGCTAACATCAAACAGGTGTAAAGCACACAGAATGAAATTATGCTTTCACTGTCATGTTTTAGTGGAATTAGACATGAGAGGTACTCCTTTTCAGACATCACGTGCTTTTTATACCTGACACTTCCATCATTCTATCTCCATTCATCCTTAGAAGACATTTTAGTTATATGTTCCTCCCAATGGACAATGTTCATATTTATTTTATTAAAATTTCTATAAATTGTTTCTTTTTCATCTGCTTGGTAAATCAAGAAAACTTTATTAGCTGGTTCTATGTAAATTGCTCTCGTTCAGTTTTCATTGGGGATAAATCTGTTTTGAATATCTGTTATGACAATTATATACAGCTACATTTTCAACTCTAATGCATTTTTAATAACTTCTTCAGCAACTAGTGATTTGAATTTCAAATTTCTTTCTACCAGGAAGTAAAAATGTACATATCATTTTTTAGCAGTTTCATATAAAAATTGATTTATGTAGCAGGTTCTCTCTCACAGTAAACATATCAAATGTCTAAATGAAGCCATTAATACTCATAAGCTTATAATACTGTGCTCCATACAGGACATAAGAAAAAGTGAAAGTTAGTAAAAAAAAATAATCGTGTCCTTAGCTTATTATAAACCCCTCACTTTGGTTGGAAGCCTATCAATCATCTGATTATTTTAATTTAATCTTATTGAGCTTCATAATGTATTTTAGAGCATATAAAAATAACTGACTAATTACCAGTCGAAATTATTTTGGAGTTAACAAACAGAACATATTGGAGTGTATGACAAATCCTTTTAAACCATTCTTGAACTCTGTTGCTGCAGGGGTAGGGAACCTTTGGCCTGTGGGCCATAGGAGGCTCCTGAAATTATTTGCTCTGGCCCTGCCAAGGCAGCAGCAGGTAAGACTTGGAATTTAATAAACCTACAGCAGTCTAAGTTTTTAAGTTTATAATTTTGTATGGCCCATGAATGATGTTATAAATATCCAAATGGCCCTTGGAAGAAAAAACATTCGCCATCCCTGAAAGGAAAAGAACTAAACTTAAGAGTGAAGTTGGAGTCATTCACTTCTTCTGGGCTCATCGCCCTCTACTGTAGCCCTTCTTGCAGAGATTGCCAACAGCAGACACAGCAACTTCTCTGCAAGTCACCATACAATGTAACTTTGTATAGAATGCACTTCGCTAGATGATTTTGTTCTATCAAAGCAGAGTAATCCTAAGAAGTCCCCTGCACCTCCTTTGTAAAGTCCTAATTGACAGAGGGTGACTTCACTGTTCTCTTACATAGTCATCACTGCACGTTACTCATTATCATATTTCAATATGCATAGGATTTATAAATCTTACTTCATTGAACTGTAAAATTTTAAAATAATAAAAAAAACTCAGCATTTATTGGCTACTCCAAATGTTCTTCTAAACTCTTAATAAGTATGTCTTATTTACCCTTCATATTAGTCTTGGTAGGTCAAGATGTTTGCAAACAAGTAGTGTACAATCTCACCTTATAAACCTTGGTGTCTTTTTACTAGACATAGTAGTCTCACAAAAATGTCTACCATATTAACAATCACATCGCATATATTATATATGAATTGGGCTTACTAAAAGTTTTTCAATAAAGAGGGCAGGTCCCTTTTCCTTGGTAGCATCATGGCAATTGCTTTACAGTAATTAAGATATCTACATTCAAAGGGATAAAGAAGCAAATATCAGTATCACTGAGCTAGTTAAGAGTGTAGGAATACTGTTGAGGAACAGCGAGGTTTGTTTTTTGCTTTTTATTACTATTTGTTGAATTATTTACTTAGTGGATGGTTAGGCTTATGATAATAAAAGAAATTGAAAGTATGTCATTATAAAAATAAAAAGGAAGATTAGGAAAGGGAGGAGGCGGGAGGGTTGGAGCATGGGACGGAGGGTGGTAGGGTGAGAAGTATCACTATGCTCCTAATTCTATAGATACAAAATACAAAAAATTTGTTCACCTTATATAAATAAAGATCATCTGTGCACCGTCCAAACCCGAGCCTCCCTTTCTGAGCATCAGGTGGAAATCACAAGGCCTGCAATGATGCCACTTTGCAAGCAGTACTGGCTGGAAATAGACAACAGGGCCGCAGGCTACGTACCATGACTCATTATAATAAAATTACCATGGGGCACGCCCACTCCCATCATGAGCCTCAGGTCATGGCACTTCCTATATTTCCTGAAAAGGCTATGGAAATGGGTGGTGCTCGAGCCCCACCCCAAACCTCGCCCTCTTTGGGTATTCACCTGGACTCCACCCCATACACAACCCTATGCCCCTGGAGGGTATAGAAGCTTAGCCTTGTTGACAGGACCTGTTCCTTTTCACATTGTTGGATGCTATTTCCTCATGGAGCGTTTGAGTCTTCTGCTTTTGGAGCCCTTATATTTTTGGCTGTTTGCTCATGCACAACTTGGTTCTTAAGCTTACACATTTGTTTTGCTTCTAGTAAATCCTGCTCTCCTGTAATCTTAATGAAGATGCTACAGTAAGCCCAGCCGGAGACTCCAAGTCCTGAACCCAGGCACTGGAATAGGCTGTGTCATCCCAACCAGGGGCTCATCTGCTCGGTCAGATACCGACTCTTCACTCTCATTTTTGAAGGACTTGTCGGGGGATACAGAATTCCAGGTGGAAGGTAAATTTTCTTCAGTCACTTAAAGATGCTGATTCACTGTCTCTTTCGCCTGTCAAGGTTTCTGACGAGAAGTTCACTGCCCTCGATTTGTGCTGTCATTTTTCTCTGTTTTTTTTTCAAATTTTCTTGCATTTCAAGTTTTAACTATTTTATTGCTGTACATACCTGGCATGTTCCTTTGAAAATATCACACTTGAAGCTTACTGGACTTATCGAATCTGTAAATTCATCTCTTTCACCAAATTTGGAAAATGTTTAGTCTTTTTTTTTCAAATATTATTTCTGCCACATTTCATTTTTCTCTGCAGTGGAGAGAGCAATGACCCCCATGTCAGAGGCTCTGAAATTGTCTTTCAGTTCCTTGAGGCTCTGTTGTTCTCTTTCCTTTAAAATAATATTTTTCTTTCTCTTTTTATTTTGGACAATTTTTTGTTCTATCTTCAAATTTACTATTTCCTCTACTAGCATTTATCCTATCTAGTAACATTTTGATTTCAAACAAAATACTTGCTTTAAAATTCTCATTTAGGATCTTAAAATAATCTGTATTTCTTTGCTGAGAGTTTTTTTTTTAATAAGCATGAATGTATCTTCATTTAATCCATTATTAGGTATAATGACTATTTAAAAAAATCTGGTAATTCAAAATCTGGGTTCAACTGATTTAACATCAGCCAGTTTTCTTTTCCCTTTAGATTGCATCCCATTTTAAGGCTTTTCATGCTGAAGAATTTGGGTTTTGTGTTGGACACTGTGACTGTCATATGTACTCTGGGTTCTGTCTCGTGAGCACCGTTTTGTTTCAAAAAACGATTGTCTTGGCTTGACTTAACTGCCGACTGCTACACCTGTGGTGGGCTGTGGCTCTGGCTCTGGCTTCAGGTGACATGCTCACACCGGAGCTGCGAGTTAATTTTCAGGTTCCACTTCACAAATGGTTCCAGTGTCAACCACAGTGTTGTGCTGAGTTGATGCACACAGTTACGCCCTTCCCTTCTCTGCTGACTCCCACAGACCCCTTCTTCACTTTCCAGTGCCTAGGTTCCCGTGATGCCAGCTGCCTTGGTCTGTGAATAAAGGCACATTTTTCAACAGCAGGTTGAGTCCCGCAATTGCCATGGCCATTAGCAGAGCAGCTGTGAGTGTTGCTGACCTCAGCAGAAAGCTGCAGCCAGCAAAGGGAGGCGCAGGTCATGCATTTGGACAGCTGACACTCTTCTATTTACTATTCCTGGTTTTCAGTGACCGTTTTGTCTGCAGTTTTCCAGAGTTTTTAGTAGCATCTATGGGATAATTACATTTTTATGGGATCACTTCTGCATACTTCAAATAGAAAGACCAAATGGCATTTAAAACACCAGTCATACAACACCAGGCCTCTGCTTAAAACTCTTCTAATATTCCCATCATTGTTGAGATATCATTCAGTGCTTTCGACTTCTCCTTCTACTTCAGCCACAACAGCCTTCTTTTCAGTCCACAAGCACATCAAATGCCAACACCTCAATTTTGGGGAAGATGTGTTTTCTTATGCTTCTCTTCCTCCCGCTCTGCCATCTCACTTTCCCTCCTTCTCCTCTCCATTCCCCTTCCTGGAATGCTCTTCATCTATACTTTTGAATCTTTTAAGAGATGACTTTTTTCTAGTTACCTCTTAGGCTATTTCTATTTATAGTAGTTTTGCATTCCCTGCTGCTACTTCCTAATATTACATCTTTCACTCCTCTCCCCCCAAAAGAACAATTACCATGGCCTTTGGTTATTATGTCTTAAATTATTAAAGGGTAAGATCAATATTAGACTAGGCTACCATCTTTATTTCCATTACTATATCCCTAGTACATGAAACAATGATACTTATGTAATAATCACATTAATAATGAATATGCATCAACTGGAGGTCTATACCAGGCTCTTAGTACCTACTTTGATAATTCACAGAATAACTCAAAGACATCTGCTTTTGAAATGCAGTGCTCACAGTAGAAGGCAAGTAATTTCAGTGAGATAATCTCTAAGACAAATAGGAATTAGCACTGCCTATCGCTCTGAGCACTGCTATGGATTGCCACTGTACAAAAAGGAGTGAACAAGGTAAGAAAAGGAAAGAGATTATAAGAAAAAATAACTGTTCAAGATGCATTTCAGATGTGGTAATTTTTTTTTTTCATTTGACTAACCCATCAACACTGCTAGAACTGCTTTTCAAATAAGATCTATGCTAAGAAATTTATCCTAAATTGCATATTGGGCAAAATGCTTTCACAGAAAACTACGTATACTTCCCTACCTGGACATGCCATGTTGAACGGAAGTTATCTGTCTCTGTTTCACTAGAATACCAGCTCTGACAGGGCAACAAGGCATACACTCAAGCAAAGTTGTCTCATGCACCTTGCTTGGTTCCCCACCCAGAAGCAGAGTGCCTGGAATGGAACAGGCAGGCACCTTGTCTGTGTTCATATTAGTAAGCTTTTCAGTACGTTAGAACACTTAAGTGTGTCCATTTTTCAGATAAAATATGGCTGGGCCCAACTGTAACATAACTCTTCTTTAAGCTTTTGCCAGTTGTATTTGTAAGTAAACATCAGCCCAGAGGCACTGAAGAGAGCACTCCAGCAGACAGGGGCCCTGGCCAAGGACCCACAGAACACAGGTATGCTCATCCCGTCAACATTCCACACCTGGCAGTTCCTCCGTAAGTCAGGTTCAACACTAGTGCCAGAATCACAATCAAATTTATAATCATACCACAGAAATACCAGGAAGACAGAATACAAATCATTTTTCACATAGAAAGAATAGGCAGTAGTGTACTGGTTGTTTTATGACATCTTATCTCGATCTTGAGAGATAGGTAATAAAACAATTTTAAAATCCATCCACTCATGGGAAAACCAAGTGCCTGTGAGCTAGGAAGTGGCTGGGCAGAAATGTAAACTTTCATTTTATTGTAGTAAATCTATATTAAGACATAGAATGTCTCACAGAGAGTTATGGAAACTCAAATTTGAATCTCTCTGGTTCAAATATATTACAAATGATTGCTAGTTCTAAGATTAGTTCGCACATCACTGTCAAACAATCTACTTTTAATAAAAAGATAAATTAGAACTGTATATTACATAAAATATAATTCCAAAAGTTCATTACATTATCCCGGCAACTGATCTGTATTATGACCAATGAGTTATCACTTTACTCCACTTATTTCAAGATTCTACCAACAGGCCATACTGAATCCTCTGTATTACTATAGGATATATAATGGTGCTCTGATGTTATCATCAATGATAAATTTAGGCAGCATATTAGCATCATGTTTTGATCATATTTTACATTTTGATCATTAGGAAACTGATATTCATTCATGGAACTTAGGCTATATTTCAACACATCAGTAAGCTGATCATTTTCTGTTAAGGAGCTGACTACACAGCAAATGCTACAGGCATTACATAGTCATTAGACTGCTAGAGCCAGCCTCAAAGGTTCCTTTTCTTTAATTTTATTTAAGTTGTACAAGGTTCATGTATTTGATATATGCAGATTTAGGAACACAGTGACACCTCCCCCTACCCTCCCTGCTGCCCACGCTCCGTCCCTTCCTCCTCCTCCCTTTCACACTCCCACTTGCAATTTTTACAAAGATTTATTTTCCATTTAGTTAACGATCCTATAGTTAACCCCACACTTAGTAAAAGAGTTCAACAAATAGTAAGAAGAGAAAAACAAAAAATCTGGTTGTGACCTATGGGTTAATCCTCCACTTGTGGCGCCAGCATCTATATGAGTGCCAGTTCGAGTCCTGGCTGCTCCTCTTCTGATCCAGCTCTCTGTTAAAAGTTCTATCTCTTAAGTATTTCCCAGGGTTTAAATCAAAGTAAAAAATGCACAATTAACCTGAACAGAGGGAAATGCCCACTCAGCACCTTGGGAAATGATCTGGTTGAATTATGAGTCATCTCATTTTGCAAAGTAGTAATAAAGATGAGCCCTTCATTTCCGCAGAGGTGCTACTGGCATTTACAGCAGATGATTAAAATAAAGGAGAAAAATAACTTCTTCATTTTATCAGAACAGGGACATTTTATCCTGGCCATGAATTTTTCCTGGTGCATTTTTCATCTATCAAAGCAATGTCTCCACAAGTTGTCAAGAGTCCAGTCTGGCCCCAGGGGCACCCAGGGCTGTGACTTACCTTATGAAAGTTCCTGAAGTAAGCTGCCTTTTCATCTGGAAATTTTTCTAGCCTTCTGGGTCCTTTGCTAGAAGCCTTCTTGAAAACCAACCAGCATCGCCGAAAAATCTGCAAGCAAATATAGGGATTCTGTTATCTACCACTCTATAAGTGCTTCCTGGCATCAGGAGTTTGTGTATTCAATTAAGCCACTTGTAATAATTTCTAAAAATGTATTTATCTTGCAAAGAGTGACTTTGTTTTTGAATGATAAGCACGTTATCAATTAAAATTACAGCAAATATTAAAAGTATAATATTTCACATAAAATATGTTGTAAAAAGGTTGTGTTATGAGGTAATTTAGAGCTTTGCTCTCAATAATCTTTTTTTAGAAAGACTTATTATATTTATTTAAAATGTGGAGTTACAGAGGCAGAGGAAGAGGGAGAGAGAGAAAGAGAGAGAATATCTTCCATCCACTGGTTCACTCCTCAAATGGTCATAATGGCCAGAGCTGAGCTGAGCCAAAGCCAGGAGCCAGGAGCTTCTTCTGGGTCTCCCATGAGGGTACAGGGGACCAAGAACTTGGACCATCCTCCGCTGCTTTCCTAGGCCATAGCAGAGAGCCTGATCGGGAGTGGAGCAGTAAAGTCTAGAACCAGCACCTGTATGGGATGCTGGCACTGCAGGTCGTGGCTTTACCCTGTACGCCACAGTGCCAGACCCATATCAGTAACCTGTAACGTACGTCAGTCTTGTGGGTTGAGTATCATATAATGTGCTTATCTCACCATCCTAGTAACAGACAATTGACTTTCCACACTGGGCCAGTACTGGATGAATAAGGTTAAGCAAATAAGCATTTGCTAATGCTCTGTTTTCCATACTTCATAAAATATCACATTTAAAATTCATCTTGTATGATTTTATTTTTTTTCAAAGATTTGTTTTATTTAACTGAAAGCCAGAGTTACAGGGAGAGAGGGAGAGACAGAGACAGAGAGATCTTCCATCCTCTGGTTCACTTGCCATATTGCCTCAACAGCTGGGGCTGGGCCATATCAAAGCCAGGTGCCAGGAGCTTCTTCCGGGTCTCCCACATGGGTGCAGGGACCCAAGCACTTGGGGCACCTTCTGCTGCTTTCCAGGTGCATTAGCAGGGAGTTGGATCAGAAGTGGAGCAGCCGGGACTCCAATGGGCACCCACAGGGGATGTGATGTTGCAGGCAGTGGCTTTACTATGCCACAATGCCAGCCCAGGTTTTAGTTGCTTGTTTTTTAAACATATGCTCATATACCAATTAGAAAAATAACAAAAGCATGTTTTAAAGGGCATATCTCATTCATTTAGATGCTTACAATAGTTAGGATTTATTCAATACCTATTATGTGGAATAAATTTTAAAATTAGTATGCATTTTATTCTAACTACTGTGTAAAACAGGTATGGTTTTCTTCTATGATAAAGTTACTGATAATGTCAGGACCTGAACCCACATCTGTCTGATTATTAAGCTTTGTTAAAAAATCAGGACTACTATGTTTTTTCTCCTTACTAAGTAAGTAATCTTTTTTTCTCCTTACTAAGTAAGCAATCCTTTACTTAGTGGAGGGTTAGGCTTATGATGATAAAATAAGCTGAAGGTATGCCATTGTAAAAATTAAAAGAAAAATTAAGAAAGTAAGGAGGAAGAATGCCGGGAGGGGAGGAGGGAAGGAGGGGTGGTAGGGTGGGAGGTACCACTATGCTCCTAAATCTGTATATGGGACATACATGAGGTTTGTTCACTTCATATAAATGTAAAACATTGAAAAAAATCAGGACTACTAATTTTACCAAAAAAAAAAGCCCACCATTTCTGGGTCTTATCCTTACTTTATAGAAGTAATTAGTGTCACACATTTAGATGTTTGTCACCAGACTTCCAGAGAATCACACACTCTCCACAGGTTTGTCTGAAAGAAATCTAGTATAGTGAGCTTTTCTGTCCAGTGAAGAAAATATTTGGAAACTAAGATTGGCCACCAAGTTTTTAAAAATTTTAAACAACTTTTTATTTATTTATTTTGAGAGGCACAGAGGGAATGAGGGTGAGAAGGGTAGACAAAGAGAGAGCGAGCGAGAGCAAGCTTCCATCTTCTGGTTAACTTCTCCAATGCTTTGGCTGGCCAGGGCCACAGCCAGGCGCCGGGAATGAACACAACCCAGGTCTCCCATGAGCAGGAAGGTGGAACCAGGAGTGGGTAACCGGACTGAGCCCAGCACTCTGATGTGGGGTGCATGTCTCCTAACTGGCACCAGAAACCCAAAGCGAAACTTTGACCAGTCATAATTTTTAAATTTCAAAATTTGGCCTATTTTTTGATAGAGTATAATTTCTCTATAGTCATGAGGAAATTCATAGAAAGAAAATTCAGAAACATAGAAAACTACATTTCTCTCTTGCATCTTTACTTGAATTACAAGTTGTCACACTGCTGTTTACTAATATAGGCCAGATGTGAGTCCTCTGAAGTGTGCATTGTTTGCTATTTGCTGAAAGACAGTATTTTCTGTGTGAAAAACACTGTTAGTACAATCACATAAAGACTGTTATTAAAAGACAGAACAGGTGGAATAGCAATATAAACACAGACTTAGATTTCACTCTTGCTGTCTTTCTAGCTTCTCACTGGTGGTCTGCTAAGTACAACCTGAATGCCTGCATGCATGAACCCATCTCTCCACCTCTGCTGGGATCAGATGCACCATCAAACAGTTCCTAATCATCTGGAAACCAGGAGAGAAATCACTCCTTGAGAGCACCTGCTGTTTTCCCCACACATTTGTGTTAAGTACAGTATGTTGAAGTTCTTTTATTTATTTCTTGTTTTCTCACTGCTCCTACCCCAAAGTGAATCAGCATCTAACAAGATGCAAGTAATGATTAGAAATATCATATAGGCATATAGTTTGCTTAGCTTTAACTCCATTTTGTGTGAATTTCTTTGGTAATATAGAATTCTACTTTTAAATAAAATGCATTTATATTTTAGTAGCAAAAGATGCAGAAAATGCAAACATATAAGAAGAGATATTTGGTATAACTGAAATCAACAGCTTGGAATCAGGTAGACTTGTGTCGACATTGTAGATACGCCACTTTCTAGCCGTGCAAACTCAGACATGGTATGTAGTGGCTCAGCTAATAAAAGGGGTATCTTACAAGCTGGAGGGAGGACTTACAAGGCAGGCTCATGTTCTACCTCACAAAATGTTCTCCACCAAGGTTGGCTCATTTTCCAGACCCTCTTTTCCTACAGAAAAGAGCCAGTACAATTTGTGCAGCATGATCAGTCCACATGTATGGAGACTTTTTCTCGAACGACACAATTATAACTCAGAGTCAGAATATTCAGATACAAATGCTCTACATCCGGGGCCGGCGCTGTGGTGCAGCAGGTTAACGCCCTGGCCTGCAGTGCCGCCATCCCATATGGGCACTGGTTCGAGTCCCGGCTGCTCCTCTTCCCATCCAGCTCTCTGCTATAGCCTGGGAAAGTAGTAGAGGATGGCCCAAGTCCTTGGGCCCCTGCACCCATGTGGGAGACCCAGAAGAAGCTCCTGGCTCCTGGCTTCAGATTCTCTCTCTCTCTCTCTCTCTGCCTCTACTCTGTGTAACTCTTTCAAATAAATAAATAAATCTTAAAAAAAAAAAAACAACAAATGTTCTACATCCACAAAAAATAAAATACTATGCAAGAGTTTTTAAAAATTAAAAAAAAAAATTAGTGATTTCTCAAACATGGACTGTGGAACTAGAAAGCCTGGATGTGAAATTTCAGCTCAGCCCCCTTTTAGAGCCATTTAACTTCAGGCTGGTTATAGAGTTCTTTGAGTTTGTGTCTTTAAATTACCTCAGGGAGAATAATGCCTGGATCATAGGATTAACATGATGGCAAGAAGAAATTCAGGGCATAAATCTCATGCCACAGTAGATGTGCAGAAATACAAAACAGATAGCATTAAGTAACTGCACAAAAGAAATAACTTCACTCAGTTTCTAATCTAACTCATACCTTTGTCAAGGCATTATAATGCATAAGATCATAGTTTTTGAATCAAACCAGTTTGATTATCAGTGCTGATTCCATGACTTACTATTATTTGAGGATTACAAGAGATATCACACAGCAACTGGCACACATGCTTCCAAAGTCCACACACCCTTACCTAGAATTCTTGGCTTTGGACACTGCTATGCACTGCACTGTGGCCCTGAACTCTATCTGTTGAAGCCCTCGCTCCCAATGTGATGCAGATAGTGCTTCTGAGAGACAGTGTTCAACAAGGTCCAGAAAGATCAGCCTTGACGATGACGCTAGAGAGCTTCCTTTCTCTCCCTCAGCTTCTTACCAAGGAAAGACAAAGTGAGCAGCCAGGGAGAAGGCGACCTACCCACAGCCAGGGAGAGAGCCCGCACCAGAACCTGACTCTGATGGCTTGCTGAGCTCAGATCTGCGGTTTCCAGCAAAAAACAATGTTCTGTGTTTCATGGCACCCAGTGTACGGTATTTTGTAATAGTAGCTCTGCTGGCCAAGATTTTTAAATAAATATGTGTGTAGAATTAAAATTGTAATTATAAACTTAGCTGTGAAGGTGAGGTTGTGCTGATGTTGATAGTTGTAGCAGTATTAATATTGTGGAAGTAAAACAAATATTACACGAATCTGAGCAGAAATTTGAGGGATTGTAAGGAAGTAAATAAGAATATTATTTGTAAGGGAGGACGTACATAAGTTACCAGGAGATGTCTCCCAGTTATTCACTGATGAATTTAAAGTCCTGGTTGAGGCAAGAAAGTTTTTTTGTGAACAGAAATGCTATCCAAATCCACGGTAGTAAGATTTTTGTCCTCTCCTACAGAGAAATCTTTTCCTTTTTCACTTCATCTCATAGCTTGGGGCATCACCACTGAAACATGCAAACACACCTATTCTCTACTGTAACTAGAGTTATTTTCTATTAAATAGTGAGCTAAACACAAACCAGAAAGCATACGTATTTTCAGTTAGGCACTCAATATTGTAGTACATTGAATCTGATAACATATAATAAGGAAAGCAGATTTAGGATTTTCAATAGTGTCTTATCATTTTGCTATTACATTAACAGAAAAACCATACAGAGATAAGATTGATTTTTAAATGACCAGATGTAATAGACTGCTTACCAGGCTGAGGCCCTTAAGTTACCATTATTATTTTATTATCTTTTTTATTTTGAAACACTTTTAGGCTTACAAACAATTGCAAAAATAATTCAGTGAGTTGGCATCTACTTTTCTTTTTGACAGGCAGAGTGGACAGTGAGAGAGACAGACAGAGAGAAAGGTCTTCCTTTTTCCGTTGGTTCACCCCCCCCCCCCCAAATGGCCACTACTGCCAGCGCACTGTGCCGATCTGAAGCCAGGAGCCAGGTGCTTCTCCTGGTCTCCCATGCGGGTGCAGGGCCCAAGCACTTGGGTCATCCTCCACTGTACTCCCTGGCCACAGCAGAGAGCCGGACTGGAAGAGGAGCAACCGGGACAGAAACAGTGCCCCGACCGGGACTAGAACCCAGGGTGCCGGTGCTGCAGGCGGAGGATTAGCCTAGTGAGCCGCGGCGCTGGCCTGGCTTCTACTTTTGCAAGTTTACTGATACTGACATCCTTTGTAACCACGACACATTTTTCAAAATAAGACTTTAACATTGATAAAATACCCAAACAAAAGGTAAAAACAGGAACCAAATTACAAATTTTACCAGATTCAGAGTCCACCAGTTTTCCTGTCGTGACCTGTTTCAGCATCCTGTCTGTTATCAAGCTGCATTTAGTTGCCTGTGTCCTTAGTCTCCTCTGATCTCTAACGAGTTCTTCATCTTTCTCTTTCCCATGACTTTAACAATTTCAAGAGTACTGATCAAGTATTTTGCATTACGCTCTTTAATTTCTCCGTCAAATATGTCTGATATTTCAAGTCTAATGAAAAAGCTCCCAATAACATGATTACAACATAATTTGTTGGGGCAAATAACACAGAATCAATCTGGTGGTAGAAGAGCTGTTACGTTTTGATCAGATCTCTAGTTGAACTTATTAAAGTAGCAAACGAATCATTTCATAAATTCAAAGTTTCCTCCTTCACCAGATTTAGGCACATTTTTTCAAAAATATTTTTAAATAAGAATGAGATTTAAAAAAAGGGCCCTGGTGGGGAGTTATTTTGTGTCCTTATGAGGTCGAATTAGGCTTGGGTATATCCACCAAACGTCATCTGCACCCCACATCCTCTTCATCTAACTGGAAATCAGTAGTGGACTAGAATCTACGCAGACCCTAGAACTGGAGCTCTACATGAGAATGAGTTTTTTTTTTTAATTTTTAATTTTTATTTTTGACAGGCAGAGTGGACAGTGAGAGAGATAGAGAGAAAGGTCTTCCTTTTGCCGTTGGTTCACCCTCCAATGGCCACTGCGGCCAGTGCGCTGCGGCCTGCACATCGCGCTGATCTGAAGCCAGGAGCCAGATGCTTCTCCTGGTCTCCCATGGGGTGCAGGGCCCAAGCACTTGGGCCATCCTCCACTGCACTCCCGAGCCATAGCAGAGAGCTGGCCTGGAAGAGGGGCAACCGGGACAGAATCCAGTGCCCCGACCGGGACTAGAACCGGGTGTGCCGGCGCCGCAAGGCGGAGGATTAGCCTATTGAGCCACAGCGCCGGCCAGAGAATGAATTCTATTTGCTTATAAATGATAGATACCAATTCTGTGGGTACATGAAGGAGCAGCACATTTATAAAACTCTGTACCTTGACTTTGATTTGCATTCCAAGAGAATGGCACATAAATTAATGGCCTTCGCTAGCAGCAGGTGGGAGGAGCTGGGAGGGTGCTTCAAGGGCATCTCAGGCTGCAGAGCCCACTTGGCCTGGCAGCAATCGGTCCTCCTCCTCCGTGACCTCCCGTCTGCCCCATCATGGTTTCAGGAGGCGGTGCCACTCCATCCTGGGAAACTCAATGATTTAATCACCGTAGAGCTCTCCTAAAATGCCAGTCATCTCATAGTTAGGCCCTACACTGCCTCTCAGTTTCTCCTTCTAGAAAATCCATGCTGTTGCCAAGACTGCGGCAACCCCCAGATACCCGGCTGGTGCACACCCTCAGTTTTCCACTGCATGACCCAGCCAGTCAGCCACAATTAGAGAGTCTCTTAATCCTCTTTCATGGGATGAAAGCCCTTCTACCTCATGGCAATCTCCTTCCCTCAGTGCTTTCTCTTTTTCAAGATAATTTTACACAAAGGAAACCCTTTTCCATTTGAGATTTACTGAGAAGCCTATGGCATATTTCTTGGCTTTACTTCACAGCTCCAATTATGTTATTTAGAAAGAATCATTCACAAATGCTAACTTAAACCGAAGTTGGATTCAATGGGCCTGTTTCATCACAAGCTGTTGACCTAATATTCATGTAAGATTTTGGCTGTAAACTTGGAGGAATTTCTGATCACTGGATGCCTTAGACCTGAGAACCCACAGCAACAAAAGGGCATCACAGAAGCTTTGTCTAGAGATTTTAAAAATCTAGATTTGAGGGGCCAGCGCTGTGGTGCAGTGGGTTAATGCCTTGGCCTGAAGCACCAGCATCCCATATGGGCGCCGGTTCTAGTCTCAGCTGCTCCTCTTCCTATCCAGCACTTTGCTATGGCCTGGGGAAGCAGTAGAAGATGGCCCAGGACCTTGGGCCCCTGCACCCGCATGGAAGACCTGGAAGAAGCTCCTGGCTCTTGGCTTCGGATCGGCGCATCTCCGGCCATTGA